TATACGCAATTATCCGCCCCCTCCCCCCCCCTCCCCCCTCCCCCCAAACCTCTGGTAGTGGAAATATCAACCAACATAGTTGGTAGGGGCGGGGGCGCCTACTACTACTACTACTACTACTATTACTACTACTACTACTACTACTACTCCTCTCTCTCTCTCGGTCGCGAAAGTCCGTAGACTACCTGGCGTGCCGGCGAGCTTAGCCCGGCTGCTGTAGGCAGCACCCTACGTTTTAGGGTCCGAAGGAAAAGAAGTCCGTCCCGTAGGACCAAGCGACTTCATGCTAACAAAACTACATAACTTGGGCCCGTGCCGAAAGCAAGCTGCAGCCCAGTGCAAAAGAGTTACTCAAAGTGTTTACAAGGCAGAATACCAAAAATGCAGGAGTATTTACACCAATGACCCCGTCGCGACAGAGGAATCGACGTCTCGAAACCTCATACATACATGTACGCTGCTCGTAGCACAAGGCCCGACAGCTGCAGAATGCCCTGCGTCCAGCAGCCTTTCTGCGCGTACAGTATGATGGTCGTAGGCCACGCTATGCACACAGCTACGTACAAAATATACAGCGAGCAGTTGAAGTGTCTGAGAGCTCCAGTACCTGCGTTACTCCAGTCTCGAAAGCTCTGGGCATGTGGTGCTGCAGAAGCGTAGAAGGGCGTTTTTTCCGCGTCAGTAGCTTCCCCAGCTAGCGGTCCTGATGAAGTTTGAAGCCAAACGCCTCCAAACGAAGTTTGTCTTCTAAGGTCAGTAGGTGAGCAGCCCGAATGTGGTACGCCACCATAACTAAGCGCGTTCCTGTCCAGGGCATAGTACTGTGCAAGAGTCTAGGGCTGAAGGTGACGTACGGCCGTTCGATCTCTAGGAGCCGGCCCTGAACGCCATTGACCAAAACGTCTCCACCTCCGGACAAAGCTGGCCTGGCCAAAGCGACTTAATGGGACCACCATGTTGACAGAATGGGGATGGTTGTGACTGTCACGATGGGGAGCGGAGGCCGTGTTGAGGATCAAACTGATGGAGCTGTAGCAATGCTCAGGATTCAAGCTGTTGACCAACGACGTGAGTAACTGTGTCACTGCTCGAAACTGCCTGGCATGTAACATAAGTCCAACAGAAGAAGAGTACACATAGGCCCCGGTGCAAAATATCCCCGATCCGTCAACCTCAGAGCTGCCATCACCAACCTGAAAAGGACGAAGGGAAACTGGGAGCATCTCCATCAGCCTGAGCAGGTTGGCTTCAGTGGCCCATCCTTTCTTAAGGAGGTCAACTGCAAAGTTCTCGGCCTCACTAAAATGCGGAAGGGACTCCGGAATAGCTGCCGAGTTCACCGCAAGGTTGAAGCCCTCTGCCTCCGAGTTCACTCTGCAAGGGGACGGCGAGTACCCTCTGAGGCTGTCCCCCAGGGGAGAGGCATCCATGCATACATCAGATGCACTGGCTTCAGACTCCGAAGATTCCCAACAGAAGGAAGGCTCAGAGACGTCTAAGGCTGCAGCAGCTGGGTGACACACGCCTAGTATTGACGGCGCTTCCAGCAGGAGAAGCTCAACCCATTCCTGCTCTGTCATGCTTTCTGCAGCTCGAGCCTGCGTAAGGAAGAAATAATGAAGGCGCTCACTGTCACAGCCATGACCAGAAAGGGACCACCAGGCAAGACTCAGCGAGTGCGGGGGGCACTTGTCGAAAAGGAAACGAAGGCACCTGGGCGTAAGCAACACCAGGCATAGACCAACCTCCTCAAGTTATTCACAGGCCAGTATGTTACTGCAGCAGTCTTTGTAGCGATGGACGCAGGCAAATTCGGCAGTATGTGCGCTTCGGCAATCTGCAAGGTCTCGAAAGACTCCAATATCCAACCATCTAGCCCAGGTGCTTGGCCACCTGCACAGCGAGATTGGATCTCTGTACGCGATGCCAGAAATGCCCATCCAACGAGAGCCAGTTGTTGTCTGTAAACTCCTTGAGAGCAGCAGGGTCCTGCGGAAGCTTCTCTACCCTGTTGAGGATCTCACGAAAAAGACATAGTACGAGCGTGGAACGCATGCTTTTATCCAGCTTCTCCGGGGAGTTCTTCTTCAGGTCTCTCCATGTAGACTGGACCAGAAACAGCTGGGGCACGACCCCTGCATCTATGCCCAACTTGGCGTGAAGTACGAAGGAGACTTCGCAACGACCAAGGTTGACCGCATCTTCGTGACGCAAAGAGAGTCTGGTGAGAAGGCTCACTTGCTGCTCAAGGGCAGTGATGCGCTTCCCATTCTGATTGCCACCGCCTCCGTGTCCCCAATCCCAGTTTTCCCACTTGCTGTCAGCTGCTTTGTCAGCCTTGTTGTCCTTGAAGTCGCGACCTTTTCCACCTCCTCTGCCTTGGCCTCCCTTCTCATTCGGGCGCGTGTATTTCTGAGCCGCTCCTTCGTCCTCTGCAGCCGGGGCATGGTGCTTGGCTCCTTCCTTAGGGAGCATCATGGCAAAGAAAGCCATCTCCTGCTGTTGCACTGGATCCATGGCCTCCGACATGACGAGGCTCTGCAGGGAAAAACGCTCCGACTATGCTTGAGCTATGGGAACCAGCAGCAGTAAATAGACGTTTCGTTGATGATGCTCATTTAGCGCAACAGACTGTGCAGGCACCCCATCATCCGAGAACCCCCACTCATGCCCAACTCGAAGGAGAGCTCGGTAGTGTCCAGACGTGGGACCTGGGCCTTGGTGAACTACCGCTGAATGCACCATGTACAAGCGCTGCGTTTGTTCAAGCTCACTGGTGAAGGTCGGAACCTCGATCGTCTGCTCGAAGTCGAGTCTCGTGTTGTTCTTGTGCCCCTGAACGTACCTGCCCAGCTGGACAACCAAAGCCTGCTTTTCCTCCGCTACCCCAGTGATAGAGTGGCCTTGGCTCCATCTGCGTAGCACAGTGGAGAGGGAGACGCGATCTTCCTCCAGGAGAGGGGCAAAGAGCATTCTTCCACCATAGTCAGTGATCCGAAGCGCTCCTTCTTCCAGCCTTCTTGATTCCCACCTGGACCACGTAGCCGCAGAGACCTGTAAGTACTGCATCAAAAATTCGGAAGCGTCTTTCTGCTCAGCATTGAATAGCCATCTGAGGACTGCACTTCGAACCACAAGCTGTGTATGGAGGGCAAGTGCCCTGTCCCCGTCCGCAGCCTGCTTGCAAAGAGTGACGAGAGGCCTGAGGTCTAAAGAGCCTACCAAGTGTAGAATGTGAAGCATCACTGTGACGCTAGAGTTGGCATAGCACAGCTGATGTGGGTTCCGAAGCCTGAGCCGAGCTGTCCAAATGGAGAGGAGCGGAGCGCGCTGTTGCAGAAGCCCACCTGCAGTCGTGCTCGACTGCGCTGCAAACTTGAGTATAGAAGCCTGTTTGAGCTTGCCTTTCGGAGGAGCGCTCCTGGTGCTCAGTGATTCTGACAGAGACCCACCTTCACGAGGAGCATGCCCTAGCCTTCCGGGAGTGTTGCTGGGTAATGGCACCTCGTGTTCGGGGAAAGTTGCACTTGCAGGCTTGATAGCGCCCACTCGAAAGGCTGCTGCCAATGGTGTATTTTGAAGGCTGCTGCTCAGATACGCCGGCGTAGTGGAACTGCTGCGCGCCTGTGGCTGCTTCGAGTCGGCCTCCGCAACGCCAATACTGTCGGCCTTCTGCAGTACATGGCCAGCGCAAACCTGAAATAAAGTCGAACACTGCGTTGCATGCAGACTCAGGTTCTTGGCGGTGCTGCTGCAGAACTGACAAGGAGAGCGAAAGACTGACTTGAGGCTCCCACAAATACGGAGCGCCTCGCTGGATGCCTGCCTCCAAGCAGAGGGGTGCGATTTCCTCCAGTGTGTTTTGATACGGTTTTTGTCCAGAAGGATTTGTCCGCAAAGAATGCACCGGGAGCCAATGGCACAGATGCTGTCAGAGTAAGCTGGAAGATCACTCAATTGAGCAGAAAACATCGGGTGATTGTCCTTCAGCAGTACATCTTCCCGTTGTTGGTCACGAACAGAAGCAGGGACCTCCGGCGGGGACACATTGTGTCGTTGTCGTGTCTCCTCCTCTAGTGCGGCAATGGTCTGTCCTGTGCTCAGTGCCGTCTTGATTACTGAACATCCCCCCATTGTGACATGTTTCTCCAGGGAATGATGATCACAGAACATCTTCAGGCAAAAGAAGCATTGCGGAATTCCGTTGACGGCATGTCTGGCCTTCACAAACTCGACCCGAGAATCATCATGAACCTGTGGATGGCTGCTTTTGATATGCATATTGAGGCCAAGCTCGTTCGTGAAGTATAGGCCGCAAACAGGACAAGAAACAGCACTGTCTGCCACATGTGGTGTGATGGAGCAGCCGCCCGCCTCAACAATAGAGACGAGATTGGCATGAGCTTGCGCAAGGCGATGACGTACTTCCTGCAAAACGGGCACATCGGTCTCTGGCATCAAGATGAGTTTGGCTTCATAGCGACGCAAGAAGATCTGTGCTGGATCGATGTCCGCAGCCTGGAAAACTTGCTTGTTCGAAATGCCCTTTTCGTGAAGTCTGAGCACTTTACGCAGCTGCAAGGCCACTGTGGAGCAAACCAAGTCAAGTGCCCGTCTATCAAGCCCGACACCAAGAAGGCCATATTCCAACACTGTCCAGACGCAAGCCCTATAAATTCTCAAACGGTCCGCCTTAGAGAGACAAGAACCAGTGCGAAGAACTGCTCGGAGTTGTCCAAATGCTGCCTTGGCCTGCCCACAGCGAAAAGTCGCAGACTGCATCTCAAAGGAACCATAGGAAAGTATCACCCCCAGGTAGCGGATTTGCGACTTGATGGCAAAGTAGACACTACTTCCAGCATGAGGAATGCGAAGGTGATCTTCCCCACCTCGTACGCTAATGAACCTGCGTCTTGCCTCGTCGGCCTTGGTGCCTCTGAGGAGCATCAACACATCAGACTTGGTGATGTTGACCTTCATGCAGGCTTGCTGAAGAATGTCCAGCACCACACTGACCTGTCCTAAAGCCCTTTCTAGGGCGCGAAGGCTCTTAATTTGCCAACAAAGCAGCTTGTCATCCGCAAAAATGGTCATGGTGCTTGCATCCCATCCCTCTCCCAGCGATGTAACAAGTCTGCTGCACAGAAGTGCGGTCCACGCTGAGTAGATTATAGGTGCCACTGGACAGCCCTGTCTAAGCCCACGCTTCATCTGAACCTCTGACTTGTAGGAGCCATGCACAATTTCACACACAGACTGCATGTGTACATGAAGGAGCAACCGAATGAGATACTCCGGCATGCCAGCAAAAACCATCGCCTGCCACATCTCAGCGTAGGTAAGGCAGTCGAAAGCCTTCGACAAATCCAGGCTCAGAGCCAGCCCTCCGACTAATTCAGGGACGTGACTGCCTAACAGTCTGGAAAGATGCGAAGTGGAGGTGCTCTCGAGTTCCTTCCTCACAGCATTACAGTGTGCTCCGACTCGTGAAACGGCATCTATGGTGCTGACTCCAGATCGATAAGCAAACTGTGGCGTGTGTTGGAGGATGTTCATGATGTATGGATGGGCCTCGGCCTTGAGTATGACCATGAACGCTTTTGTTTCAACACCCATTAACCCGATCGTGCTCAGATGTTCAGGGCAACTAGGAGTCTTACCCGGTTTGGGCAACCAGGCAATTTGCACCCTCGACCAAAGACTAGGCACGAACGGTTCTTGACAACAAACAGTCTCACAGCAGATGGCCTCAAGGCGGGTCGCATACTCGCCAGGTGATTGCTGCCAAGTGCTAATTTGAGCCGATCCAGCTGGGACCGCCTTGCCCTTCTTTACCTGCAAGATTGCCCATTCCCAGCTTGTCTTGGAGAACAGTTGCGGAGGAGCAGGAAGCAGCGGGGGAACATCTGTGCTTGCTGCATGAAAAAGCTTGGCCGCATACTTTGTCAGGATCTCCCCCTCTTGAAATTTTGTCATCGTCATGCCGCTCCCGTCACGTAGCTTGATTTTCGGAACGAAGGGCTTAGGGGAGACGAGCTTAACAAAAGTATGAAAAGACTTGCAATCTCCTCTCTCAGCAGCTCTCTCTATCTGTTGAAGACCACTGAGCAGCCTGTCTCGCTTTCGGCGTCTGCAGGCCCGCTTTAGAGCACGATGCGAGCTTTGAGCCTGGGCGTGTAGCAGAAATGCCTGAAAAGCATGCTTGAGGATGTGCACCCTGTTAAGCTGCTGCAGCCTCCTCCGTAATCTCCAATGGCACTCAATCTCTTGCCCAACTCCAGCAAGCGGGGGGAGCTTTTGCCTGACACTTCTTCCAGGACATCTCTGCCTAACCAGAGATCTGAGCTCAGCAATGTCCTTCTCCTTTGGGTGCAGCGGCGTTTTGGCTGGTGAAGTCGGCGTGGGGCTGGAGCTTGCTCGCCAGGGCTTCCACACCATTCGTAGACTGGCACTAATTAGCCGATGGCCCGCTTGCCTCCACTCAGCCAATCCCACGGAGATGGGGCCGGATTGCTTAGCCTGCCCGTCAGCAGTCTGCTGACGAACCACCAAGAAGTCAATCTGCGTGCTGCCAGTTGGATGGACGTAGGTGGCTTGTTTACGGCTCCAGCTGTTAAGTACAGTAAGCTTGTGTCTCTCAAATAGATCGTTGAGGAGGCTGCGTTCCCGTTCCAAGTCAGCGGAGGTTTGTCCCTGCAAAACACCAAATCCAACAAAAGGAGGCTTAGGAGACAGGCTGGCGTTGAAGTCTCCACCAAGCAAGACCATTGAGCGAAGCGGCGTGGCTTGAACAGCCGTGTCCAGCTTTCTCCAGATTAGCCTTCTCTTGTCCAGGAGTTTGTCCTTTGCCTCAGCGGCTCCTGAAATCATTGCATGCTGATACAGAGAGAACAAGTCCCATTGTTGTTTGCCAAGTATAGCCCGAACTCTTAGGAGTCTGCCAGGGACAATCTCTTGCCACTGTACCTCACCAGAGCCAAGCAATGAAGTGCGAATACAAACCATCACACCATCCTGCCTGGGGCGTTTGGAGGCGCTGTGTATAAAGGTCCAGTCACCTTTAACCCATTCACCACTGCTAGACCAGTGGGTTTCTTGTATCAGGGCCACAGCATAGCAAGAACCTTGTAGGAACTGCTCCAGCTCTGCAGTGCCCTCTGATGACAGGCCGCCTGCGTTCCAGCTCAGAGTCTGAATCCTTGCCCGCTGCACAGTTGTATGTACACGTGGTGCGAAAGGATACCGCAATTTTGGATATGAAATTCTGCCTTTGTAAAAGTATAACCATTCTTCTTGGCACGAGCAACAGCCCTTTTAAAGGAACGTTTGCCAGTACTGTTCATTAACTTCGGGACACCTCGTCGGCGTGGTTCCTCCATGTTCGCCAAAACGGCTCCAGACGGACCAGAGGCGGTACCGTCCACCCTCACGCCAGCGTCTCCATTATGGATGGTTTTAGCTCCTCCACATAGACGCCCCCGGACTTGGGACCGGGCCAAGTGGCGACTTTGATTCGCCCGTGCTTCCATAACTCCCAGTGGCTCGCTGAGCAGCGGAGGCCAGCATGTCTTCCTTGTAGAAGGAGCTGTGCTGAGGCCATGAAAAATGCTCACTGAGTCCTGTGAGATGGGATGGAAGTGTGCTGTAAAGTATTGGATACTGGCTGTGGCAGAAGGCAAGCAGGGACTTGTACTCAGCAGCGGGTAAGATCTCTTTAATGCTCTCCATGATGGTATCGGCGGTGCCGAAAGACCACAGCTGCTTAGCCAGTGCGTCTGCATCTGCCCGTCCCTGTTCCGAAACACCCTCAAAGGCCAGCTGGTCAACCAAAAGCTCCCTCGCTCGCACTTGCAGGTGAACTATCGGCAACAGTTTCGTATCCATTGCAGCAAAAGGGCTTCACTAGTCTTGAGCACTCGTGGCGCTTTACTACTACTACTACTACTACTACTACTGCTACTACTACTACTACTACTCCTGACCGCCATCAAAACTATGATTCTGACTATGACTATGACTTGGGTACTGCCCCCACTCTGTTACAGCTGGATAATATTTATCATACAATTTTATATAGCCGTTATATGACCCCTATTATAGACTGTTTCAGCGTGGGGCAGCACCAAACTATGACAGTTAAAGGGATACTGCGCAGGCCGCCCATGATCTCGGTGGACTGGTTCAGAACAATCGCCAGGCTTCTCCGGTTGGACGCATATCCGCTGGTCTAGTGACTGACTTTGTGCATGTCCCTACATTGGGGAAACTGGGGTATAATATAATATGATACAATATAGTATAATACAAGTGTGTATATATACCATATACCTACAGGTTTAGGGTGAGGGGTTAGCTCCCCTTATTGTTACTGGACCGTTCCATTTTAAATGTTTCTGGTCACAGCCAGGTGTATGATGCTCTTGCAGAAGTTGCTGTGGCTTTGCCAAACGCTTGGTATGGGGAACTGGCTTCTGGATGGTTGTTCTAATACCAGGGGCCCCCAGGGTAAGGATTATCGTATCTTGTGGTTACAGGGAAAAAACCCTCACGAATAAGGGTTTAACGTCATCTGTGATTGCTTCTGAAGTGCTGTCATAGCGTGTTAACTTGCATGGAGCCTGCAAAAGCGCCCTATAACTTATATATATATATACATATA